TGCTGCTGCTGCTGCTGCTGCTGCTGCTGCTGTTGCTGCTGCTGCTGCTGTTGCTGCTGCTGCTGCGGCGAAGGCGGCTTCTGTAGATGTGTGGCCGTGGTTTGTGCCTTTTGTCTTTTATGAGGCTGGGTTTTTTTGCATTGCCTGCTGCTGTTGCTGTTGCTGCTGCTGCTGCAGCGCCTACAGATCCTCTCCCTTCCTCCTCCAGCAGCAGCAGCAGCAGCAGCAGCAGCAGCAGCAATAGCAGCAGCAATAGCAGCAGCAGCAATAGCAGCAGGAGCAGCAGCAGGAGGCGTGGTTTAATAAGAACATCAGATCGTTTGTATGTGGATAGAACAGCAGCACTGCTGCGGTGTATAGGGAGAGAGAAAACAGCAGCAGAAGTAGAGGAGGTATGCGGCCTCTCTCTCTCCCACCAGCGGCTGCTGCTGCAGCTAGCTAAGCAGCGGCAGCACCTGCAGCAGCTAGCCAGGCGAGCGCTAGCTAGACCCGCACAGCTCCCCGAAAGCCTCAGCCACTGGATGGCAGACTCAGCACAGTACTGACACTGCAGCAGCAGCAGCAGCAGCAGCAGCAGCAGCAGCAACAGCAGCAGCAGCAGCAGCAGCGGTAGCGGCAATAGCAACAGCAGCAGCTGCTGCTGCAAGTGTACCAGCTGCAGCTGCAGCAGCAATAACAGCAGCAGCTGCTGCATTACCTGCGCCAGCTGCAGCAGCAGCAGCAGCAGCAATAACAGCAGCAGCTGCTGCAGCACCTGCACTAGCTGCAGCACCAGCAGCAGCAGCAGCAGCAGCAGCAGCAGCAGCCGACAACGGCCGGCGCGGGCTGCTTATGTAATGCAGCGTACAGTGGCTATGGCTGCCGCTGCTGTTGCTGCTTCTGCTGCTGCTGCTGCTGCTGCTGCTGCTGCTGCTGCTGCAGGGAAGGGAGCGAGAGACCCGTTGTCTGTCTATCATCCTGAGTTTGCTGCTGCGCTGCAGCAGCAACAACTTGGCGGCCTTTGTCTGCTCCTCTTTGTTATTCTAAGCTGCTGCAGCAGCTGCTGCTGCTGCTGCTGCTGCTGCTGCTGATGCTGCTGCTGA